GTAGACAAAGTTAATCAGCTGTACCCGCAGCTGCAGTTGTTTTACAGATCACAGTATGAGAGTCGCAAGCGCTGCCGTGCTTGAACAAGACCACCATCATGGACTACGATTGCGAGAGGAAGGAACGAATGGGATATGCGCTGAGGTCCGCACAGTTCGTGAAAACGGAGCATCCAAGTATCCAAGTATCCAAATGAAAGTCTAAGGGATAGACACCACCTTAACACCCAAAATGGTTTGGATTCGAGACCAAAAGAGGAGGTTTGCTGGAATCGATATGAGGAAGAATCCAGAATCGTTTAGCAGTTTGGGCAACTTTCTACCATACTAATTCCCTTTTTCAGCAAAAAATATCACATAAGACCTAGTAAAATTCATGTAATAATCTGTCCACATTTTCCCTTCTTATTACAAATCGATTTTTTGCCCTTCTGTAATACCGTAGTTTCCCAATGGTCACAACCACCTATCGATCGAGGCAAACGTGAAAGTCAGAACTTTTTAGATAAAATATATTTTAATATGGTTCTCTGGGGAGGTTTAGCCGAATATCACGATATAGCCGTCAAAGGATTCTAAGGGAATGCGGACTAAATATGTTTCATTTTTTCACAAAGCGAAAGAAGTAACTTGATTGGAACACTAACGCCCTTGAGGTGTTTTGGAGATGAGCGTAATTCTCATAGCTATTTAACAGCAACATGCCATCCACGACTGTTAATGAACGGCAGCTGTAGAAGTTCAACAACCAGCTCCTCAATGACAGTCTTCCCCATGTACTTGTTTAACTGATCTCCAGCGCTCTGTCATGTAGATGAACATTGCTGACCTCTCAGTCTAGACATTACCATTACAAAGCGTTCGAACAATATGTTCTAACAACGAGTATGCTGAGACATTTGCAAACCTCAGACCTCAGACCAGATTCGAACCCGCGATTACACTTTCCAGAGGTTTGCGCGCTACCCACTGCACCATGGAAGCCTTTGCCTTGCCTTTCAATCAGTTCTTTACCCTAACGGTGCCATGATCAAATATCTACTACGTTGTAACCCTAACATCAAACATTAAATTGTATTGTGTTCAATTCACATCAGGTAAGTTATGAATCCAACATGTCCCAAACAGTAAACAAACATAAGAAGCGTTTTCAAACAGCTTTAAAGCAGTTGCAAAGTAAAAAAGACCAACGATATAAAATATACATTCAGAAGCTCAAAATACTCAAAAATAACCCAACGTGCCTGCAATACCAGAAATGAAGCTCTTCAGAGTTGTGCAAAGAAAACAACTACAGTAAAAACGTACTTCTATATATAAAAGTATAGGATTTCAAAGCTGAACTAAGCAGAACCACTCCACTATTCGTTTAGATAGACTGGAAACAGTGCTCTAAAACAAAAGTGTGCTCCAATTCTACGTTAAAGTCAGGTTCAAAATCATAGATACATTACGAAACGGAGAGTGTAACACACCAAAACACCAACGTTCTTTTGTAAATTACAAAAACCTCACGTAGATGGAAACTTCACCGATCTCATAGCCCACGAGAAGTCGACCGTTCTCTTTCCTAAAGAATGAGTAAAATGAAGTTAAAAAGTAAAAAATTACAAAAGTAGAACTAATATTAACACAAATATAAAACGTCAAAGGTAGATTTCCCAGCATTGGATCTGAAAGCTAAGAAAAGATTGACATCTACTCCGGTATAAACTACTTGTACATTATACAAATGAAATAATTTTGAAGAGAAAATTTAAAGAAGTGAACCTAACGATGACCAGTTCCAGAGCCACCTCATCACCGATCTTCTTTTGGGATCACTTTTATCACCTGTGATCCTGTTAATCCACCTACTTGAGCCACGCTTCAGTAAACTTTCCGCACCCTTTGTCACGAGCGAGAGCTGTCGCAGTTTTGCGTTAGGTAGAGACATAATAAGAACGCTGCACCTTTAGCATAATGTCCTTAAACTTAGCGAAGATATCCGGCAATATTCTCGGCTTTGTTGGGGCATTGGTCTACCTGTGGCTTGGCTTCCGGATGGAAGCGTCGGGCTTCTGAGTTTGGGTGAACATGCCGGGAAGAATGGAATCTTGCTGTACATCGTGATTCAAAGCGTAGGAATACTTGTCTGTACGAATTAGGACTCCACAACTAGTGTTTTCAGTTCAATGGTGATACATATTTGGTTGGCAAGGTAGAGAAAATTAAAAACCGCCTGGCAGAACTTCTAGCATTTCAGCCAATCCATAAACCTTACATTCCACATACCACTTCAAACCTTGCTATTGAGGCTAGGGTTTGAAGTTATTTTAGTACTAAGCATCAATAAGAATATATTTCGTCTCTAGAAAAGCAACATTTCTTGTTTACTTCAAAAGTTAATACTATTCACTATCAGGGAAAGTAGCACCTCTAGACCGTCGTACAGTACCACTTCCACCGTAATACAAGCAGTCCAATGACTCATTCATGCTATCGTTACTCCACTGTCGACTTCGTCTATTCATTTCAATGCGCAGAAATGTAACTAATGAGGACGCAGCGCACCGATATCAATCTGATTTTTTGTCCGACACTTGTTTTGTTGCAATGAATTCTGTACCGCCATTTATCTACTCGATCGATAGTGTCCCGGAATGGTGTACGTTATTTTCAATGGATAGGAGGAACGACAAAAAATTCTCCATGGTCCCATGTGGTCGCTACACTAAATTTCGAATGTGTTATACAAAATATGAGTTGGATCGGCAGTGTTACATCATGTCGATAGAAGCAGTTTGGATTAAACTACCACCTAGTTCTGGATAACGCACCATCATCGACGCTTCCTGATTCAGTCGTTCGTGGTACAATACAGCAAAGCGGAGCAATGAGAAAACTTAGCGATAGCAGTGACGACAAAGGCTTCTCACTCACAGAAAGCACAAAAAGAACACTACTGTTGTCATCCATTATATACGACATCTAATCAGTTAGGAACGAAATCCTATTATGATCACAAACTGTAAAGTGATGTACATGCAAGTTTGGAAGGTAGTGCTTACCACCATGTTTAGCACTGAGTGGATGAGTACGGCTCGCAGCAGTGAATTGCGAATATGCATTTAACTAGGCACAATTTGGTGTTTCGAATCTTTTTATAACACCAATAAAAACGGCAACAATCTGTGGGTAATTTACCGCCTATATTATTTCATGAGTTCTGTATGACTTATATTGTAGTCATTATGTAAACTGGGTTTCTTCGGCCACAGAGGTATGATTGGACCATGATCACTGCACACTTCCACGGACTCCACAGTAACGGACAATATCATTACTTCATTTTACAATCCTGATAAGCATAAGTGAAAAACACCTGTGATATTTCCTTTCACAGAGTGTTTGTACCAGCCACAGTAGTATATTCGAAGAAAAAAAACAAAGAGAAAAAATACACCGTTCACCAGACCAAGAATATTTATGTCTCCTCTTCAAAATGATATCATTTCAAAAAAGTGCAACTACAGGTCTGTCAATAATCATTTCTAAACACTAATGAGGACGAAATATAAGACTCCGAATGACTATATATCAATTTTGTGACCGAATATTCCCTGTATTACAACTAGCTGAAGTCCAAAATTCCATTAAAATCCACTAAAACGTTCGATTTTGATTTTGGAACGAACATTCAATCAAAGGAACAGACTGGTAAACAAGCCACCACAACTCAATCTCACTAAAGTTCGTCTATTTCTGCATTTGGGGTGAGATGGTATCCTGTGGCGCAATTGATTCAAACCATAACGGCTTGAGTTTGATTTCTAGGCGAATCTTCCTTAGGGCAAACAAGGCCTTCGATTACTATAGAGCTGGTCAAATGTCTACAAATAGTGATGTTAGAACCCTGACTCAGCTCTTTCAATTTCATTTGAAATTCATATGGAAAAATCAAAATCTATAATGCACTTTTAATCGCACAGTGATTCGAGCGTACATCGAAATCTTCATTCGTTTCTGTCGCCCAGTGCACTGCGCTTCTTCGAAGGATACGAACCGTTTCTCTTTCCTCTTGATGTTGTTTGGTTTTTATGCAGTTTGGATAACAGGCATCGATGAATGAGTTAGCAAACTCTACCATAAAGTCATCACTCACTGGTAAACATACCTGTGTGTGATAAACTACTTTAACAAAACAACAGAATACTTCTTGTGCTTTTAAACACGATATGACTTGCCGCAAATGTATTATAAACGAGGGAACAAGAAATTGTGAAACCATTCACATATATCATTCCTGCACAATGAGTAAACTTAAGCCTACTTACAGGAAACTGACGAGTATCACGCTAACCCAAATGAACTTAAAAAGTGAATCTTGCATAGCGCATTCGGCAAGAAACTATCACTAAATATTATGGATAAATAGGGATAGCCAGGCTTTCGTATACCTCGAAAACTAGTGATTAAGTGATACACCACTAAAGATTTGCATCCGCTATCGATGAATGACTAGCTCGTTATTGTTCGCACCAATTTTCATCACATCTTCAGCTGTTGCAGTCACTTTTTGTGATAGTTTTCCACCCATTCCGGACCTGATCTTCACCTCACCGGATGGACGATTTAGTCAGCACCGCTTAATGAGTACAGAATGCCTTTGGTCGACGAATATCATCTCGGTGATGCAATATCCGCTTGCTATGGAAACGTGACATGGTTACTTAAAAAAAGAACTCTTATGATTGAAAATTAGCTCAATTCAGCTCTATTTTGTTGAAAACTAACAAACCTACCATTTTTTGGCTCTATTAGTGCCTTATTAGAAAGATGGTCCACTCGATTTATTGATGGGAGGCTACAACGAGGTCGCAATACTCTGAACGTGTTCATCTCACTGTTTCTATCGATTGTGAATCCTCTCAAACTGTAACTGCACATATAAATCCCTTGAGTATACAAACCTATCGGGGATTTGAAAATAGAGATGGCATTCACAAGTATCAATTTGCTTAGAAAATACTGTACCGTTGTTTGGAGTCCTTGTCAAAATCTTTCGAGTTAAGTGATTCAAGCAGTGCCACTTTAGTAGTAGAGGTTTCTGCTACGGTTCTACGACGCTTGCGTAAAGGCGAACCGAACTTCCCTGTCGGCTTCTTTGATTCAGATCGACGTCGCTTGAGAATCATTCTGTTGTTGTTCCGGATTGAGTAAAACTGTTCCAATGAAACCACGGTGTTACTGACATTACATTTAATGGAACTGTTAACTCTGTTCATCGTCATTTCATCACTTGACAGTTCACGATTAACAGAGCTGTTTAGATAATGATCTTGCTTAGATGTTGGTGAACATGCTTGTTCCACATCGACTGAATTGTTTCGATTTTCACTCTGTGTAATGTTGTTCACTGTGACAGTCTCCTCATTCTCCACTACAGACTGATCTTTCCAACTACGAAGACTTCTTCTTCGAATATTTTCCTCGTCCTTCAACTGGTCAGGAACAAAATTTTCTTGCTTCACTTTACGCTTCCTTAGGAACAACCCATTTAATTGCGAACGACATGACGGATCAGATAATGACATCCTGAAAACAATATCAATTCATTGCTACCTTGACAACAGCATCATAAGTGTTGTACAAGCTGAAAACCTAGAAAGGGCATTTAAGATTTATGGAAATACATACTCATCAAGTTCCTCTTCCCGCTTCTTCTGAGATCTTGGCGTGTGCCGCAAGCTTAGATGACTTAAGTCTACAAGAGATGATGAAGGGGAAGTGGACTTATCGAACTGCGTATCACTATTCCTTAAACATTTTCGAGCAAACAATATTCTTAATTATCAGATACGAATGGAAATATCTCAATTCAAATTTGTTGCGGTAACACAACTACTTTACCCACGTTTGAACACAGAACGCTTCCTTGAAGTTACAAATTTCTTCAGCTTTGTTCTCTGCATCATCAATAATGCTTTTAGAACACAACACCTACAACAACATTCTCGACAAAATGGAACAAAAAAGAATATTGCATCAACAACTGGAACAAGTTTGAGATCTTTGCACCGGAACTTTTATAAAAATTCAAGAAAAGCTTCCTAGGCGGAAAAATGTAATAGCGAGCATATTGACTTATGCATCTAAGGTGAAAAAAGTTCTGGAAAAAATGAACAAAAACATGCCTTCAGAGTTTCGTTGAAGTAAGCTATTTTACGACGACTTAGTGGAACAGGTAGTAAAATAGAACTTAGGTTCACCATAATAGCCTTCAAATGTACGGTCGTAAGTGAATGTTTTGCCAAACATCGACGTAGAACAAGATCCACTAGATCCTTTCCCTGAAATACAATAAATGATATCACGTTCACAGTTCCAGCGCTAATAAAGTATTTTCAATGCTTCGTCGAAAAAAAGAAAACAATGTTCTCAACTGGAGTCAAAAACAACACATATGATACACACATTCATACACGTATATCCGCGCTTGCATATGTATATATACGTACATACATACACGTATATATACATATATATGTTTACATGTGTGTATACAAACATATGTTTAATCATCACAAAGAAACACTGACCTTCTGCAGAGAAGAAAGCAACCTAGAGTGCATGATTCTCGTCTCCTCTGTGTTTGTGTCAATAGGTGCTTTTACCAAAGCGTGTTGCAAATTGCTCATTGACTCAAATGTATATTTTCGTGAATGTCCACCAGCTCTCTTTACTGGCGAAGAAGCGGAAGAACGTGTCGATGTGACAACAGTACAAACAGGTAGTTCAAGTTGTGGCGTATCCGATTCACCTATCTGTATAATATCTCCTCAAACAGCTGATTTAAATCTTTTATTAGATCAAGAACTCCAATGAGAAAAAACACGGAAAACCGTCAGTGGAAAAGATTGATTTGATTTGAACCTACTACATAAAAACAGCAGGAAACTCTATAAAATCTCGCACCCTGATTTCGTCCTGAAGATTGTCAATGAGCGGTCTGCCATTATTTAGATGTAATCTTTTCCTCCTCCAAAATTCAAATACAGCAGCGACGATCAACGGATCCTGCTTTAGTCTGAACTAGATGAAACTTTTACTATGCAAACAACAAATGCCATTTGAATGTTCACTGTCACATGGACCGTTCTCACTTAGCAGCAGTCTCCTCGTGAGATGCATACAAATAGCACGCCTGTTCGAATTGTCTTAAGAGACCTATGCCGCACAAATCATCTGCTTCCTCATCAGAAAACGTCTATAAATAATGAAAGTTCAAAGAAAGAACAATGTAAGCTCATCATAGAAAGAATACATAATGAAAGTTCATTTTAAAATTTGAATGAAAATACGTTACTACAATTAGTAATAAACGAGCACTAACAAATCCTTAACAATTAAACACATAAAACATGCAAACGTCACAGAAAAAACTATGCAGAAAAAACCGTGGTGTTTTTAAAAAAGACCAACAGTCTTGTCGAAGACTACCAACCTGCTCTGCTTCGTAACTCGTCTCCTTTTTATAATATGGTCTGGCTGAATGATGTCTGGGACACAACGAGATCATGTTTACTTGTTCATCGTTCGGATCCTAAAACATCAAGAGAGATATCACTTAGAAATGGAATATGAAAATAGAAGGGTAAAGCTTTCGGATTTGAACAATCCATGAGAGATGCGCTAAGTATTTCATTTCACTAAGCATCGTTGGAGGTGACTGAATGCATATCTGGCGTTTACAATTACTCGCGGTGGTTTACCGATGTATCGAGCCAGTGCTGCTATCCTCCCAGACAAGTCTGGTACCAATTTGTCGATCCCGGAAAGAAACGGTATACACATATGCTATTATGAAAACGTTACTAACGTTCTGTTCAATGCGCATTTCCAGTCCACTACGCAGAGCACACGTAGCATGAAACCAAATCTTGCACGTGTCGACTGTGCATTTTATGCACGCTCCCTGTCGAGTATCGCATATTGCACACCTAAATAGAACATATTATGCTAAAAAAAACAAGAATGAAGTCAGGCGAAACAAAACACGTACTTCGCAACCCATCTTTCCCCCTTTATCTGATTTATGGATGTTATGCCTTCTCTTTTTTCAGCGTCGACGAAGCTAAAACAACTAATTCCAGATAAATAAATAGAAAGAATCATAGCACTGTCTGCCTTCGACAAGAAAACACGACACTCCTGCCGGGAAAAATAATAATAAGCAATAAATAAAAAGTTAAACACTGTTTCCGATTATTTGATATCAGCCGTATTATTTTGTTCGAAAGCATTTTTGCATACCTTTTATTTAATCGAGAGCATTCCTAGCATCAATAATGATGTCGATAGAAAAACCCTAATGTTCTACACCTTATAGTTATAAACAAACAAGAAAACTGTTGGCACGAGTTTGTCTACTTGGTTACGGGTTCACGTTAGTGAAAACGGTATTAATTCAAAGGTTCTCGCAAGTTCCATAAGTCTATGGAGGTACAGAAACATTAAATGCTCACAGTTATGTCGTACCAAAACAAATATATTCTACATTTTAAAAATCTCTTCGATTCATACTTTCCAGGGACCGCGTGTAGCGCAGTGGTTATAAGCGCCTTGCAATATACATGGGAACAATATCGCGCACCAGCCTCACCGAGCCTTCCATCTCTCCGGGGTTTGCAAATTGGTACGGAAACTATCTGGAAGGATAGCAGCACTTATCGATACATCGGTAGGTCATCTCGAGTCATTGTAAAGACCAGATATTTATTCATTCACCACCAACGATGCCTAGCGAAGTCGAATTCATGGCACACCCATCAAGAATTGATCAACGCCGAGATCATTATCATTTAACTTTCATATTTTTCGTCCTATGAGACGCTTTCAGTGGAGTGGTTAAAGGTGCTCTGAAACACACATGCGGTCTCTGCTTCTATCCCACTCCCTAGGCTCACCAACTCTTCCATCCTCACGGGGTTGGCAAATTAGTACCACAGTTGTCCGGAAGAACAGCAGCACTACTTTATAAATCGGCAAGCCATCGCAAGTCAACTACATAGCGCAGGTATGCATCCATACATCTATAACCATTCTTAACGATGTCGTAATCATAGTGCATTTCTCAGCTACTGAACAACATCGAACGTCCTATCCTTCACCGTTTACGGTCCACGCTCCCTATGTGCAGCTGCGAACCCAACGTGAGTCGTCATATGATGCTGCCAAGAGCGTGCTGTTGCGATTGCGATACGTTTTGTACAACACAGTCATTCTCTTAATAGAGCATGACTACTTGATACAATTAGGAGAGCTGAGTAGAGCATTCTCACTTTCAGATTCGCTTATCACATCAGGATTCAACTAGGACTGAAGTGCATTTTCGGATGCCTCGGCTATTTGGGCTATTTACCTGATCTTTCTACAACTTCGTATACATTTTAAAGTTTTGTATCCAATGTTGAAAATCTTTGCCGTGCGAACCTTTTCTATTGAGTTATCTACCACGGATCGTTTATATGGAGGACATTCTCATTTAACAAGACACATGTAAACCAGTTATGTGCAATTCAACACGAGTACTGTGCTGATTCGACCTTGTCACCAGGCCTCTCTTCCTTTCGGAGACGAGGAATTTGTATTAAACTTTTACGCGAAAAGTTCATGATATGCAGTGCAAGTGGGAACGCTCTAGGCCGGCTATCTCAGCACTCTAATGAGAATCGACCCGATCAGTATTCAACGACATTCATGACGGAATGAAAATCTCCAAGAGGCAGCCAAACCCACACGCAAAAGCTGGACTTTCGTGAATGAGACGGACGAGAGGAAACGAATCAAATACATGACCACAGATCACAAGTGTTAGTGTACGGATCACCTCATTTCTTGTATTCGACTCGTCATTACCGATTCAGCTCCATTTTCAGTTCTCGAGGTATCTCTAGCAACATAAACTAAAAATGCATGTCTAGATGGCACTCGCACACAAACTGAATACCTGATGCTATGCTAATACTTATTAGGTAGGATGTATTGGCAGAATTTGCCATTAGACATTCTTTCTCAGCAGCAACAACGACTCATCAAGACACACTTCTTATCATGTTTGTGGAGTCCCTGCCAATATTCACCTCAAGATTCGACGAATGAACAAATATTGTAGAACTCGTTTGACCATTATACACTGTATAGTTCTCAATAAAGCTGTATCCATAGGCTTAATTGGAACACAAACAATCCTTCAATCATCGGCAATCCGACGACCCATACTTGAAGACGGAGAACGATGCACACTACACCTTTTCAGTAGTTGTCGCAACCCACCAGTTTTTCCTTCTCAATATATCTTCGCCTTCCTTAGAACTACAGTCTAGTCGGTCAGAGATGAGCAATAGAAATGTATCGGTTCTATGATTCTAAGTGAAAGCATTCCAACTGCACCTAAACCATTCCAAATTGTTTGCGCTGAGGACATGGCGGTTAAGAGGCATCACCATTGTTTCACCAATTATTGCATCATCGCCATCTTCGTCCTCATTGTTCCACTTTCGTCGGACTCTTAGAACAGTAAAACAGAATCGTCTTCCTCAACAGGTTTAGCTTCTTGTTCGTTCCCGTTGAAAAATCGATGGAAGACAAAACTCAATCCGTGACACTTTACTCTTGGCCAATAACTGATTGTTTTGTTTCTCTTGAAATAGTAATTATGAATCATGGGCATCGGTGTGAGAGGATATTAAAGACATCGATATAGCACATCCTACAACTTATGTTGCACAATGGGTTAACTATTATCGTGGCGATAACAGATGATCGATGAGCCCTTCGTTTCTTCGTTATATGTAGATATCCCAAAACACGCTATAGTTTCCTATTTATCTCTTTTTTTACTTCTGCATGACTCGACACCTTTTTTCAAACTTTTTATGACTCAACCCTTTTATATGAACCTACGTTGATTTCATCGCTTCTTAATTTCGATTTTTTTCCCTCATGTACGTCACTTGTAAAGATCTTCAGGTTTGCGCGCCCGCTCCACTGTGGCCGAAAGTTATGGAGTGGGGAGAGTTTCCCAGAGAAATATGGTACAAGTTCCATGCTCCGGTATGGCTGCAGAGAAGGGTCGAACAAAGACCTCATTATCAGACATATTTTCCATTACGCTAACCGCACCTCTAAAACGGGAAGTAAGTACAAACAAAAGAGAAAGCGTTTGTCACTGATCCGTCCCTAAGAGATTCGTGATCTGTACGGCTCCACTAAGCATCATTAGAGGTTTCTGAATGGCACATCTGGACTACACAATGATTTGAAGTGGCTTACGGATGTATCAAGTCACTGCTATCCTCCCAGACATGTTTGGTATTAATTTGACGACCTCACAAGAATGAAAGGCATGGCAAGCCCCGGCCCAGGAACGAACGATCGGCCACATTGGTATTGCAGGCACCTCTAACTACTGCGCTATACGTACCTTTGTTGACAAGACATGGGGGTATGCTGAACTATAGAATGAAACATACAAAAGAGAGTAGTTGGTCACTTTTTGTATGCAAAACGGACAATGTGTATTCAGTTCAACGTAAACCGCGCATTGCGAAAAATTGGGTGCTTTCCAACGAGGCAACCACACAAAACTGCGTTTTGGCTCAACAGTATTCACGGGTTAAAATATACTGTTTTCCACAGTAAACCTAGTTTTCCAGATATCTGAGTTAGTTAACTAACCGACATTCAGGTAACCATAGTGCGCATACCACATGCGCCCACTCATCGCTCTCATCGACACATTTCAGTGCTCCACCTATCGTAGGACATAAAATGCACGGAGGATCATGACCTTAACGTTACTAATAACTAAAGCTTAGAAACGCCTTCAATGAACAGATCTAACAATAATTTCCTACGTTCACTCGAACGAGGTATGCCAAACTCTGCCACCAAACACTGAATTTGGAGCCCAGTTGGAGGCAGAAATAACTAACAAATTGAAAAAAAAAACGGTATAAACCAACCAAAATACAGTCGGCATTTCATGCACAGCCATTCGCCAGCTGGCAGCTCTTGCAATCCATAGCATGACATATGAACACATAAGTTACATCCATCACAGAATACCATTTCATCGTCGGGCTCGCATTCATGCTATAAAATTTTCATGAGTATTTTAACGTCTATATACTGCACAAAGGTTTCGTAGCTCACTACTCGACATATATCACAAGGAGCTTCATCGTCTTGCTCAGCAGCACGGGAACTGGGAGAATGTAGTGGCTCCAGAAGTTTCCGGTGGATATTCTGATAATAAAGAGCTATCAGAAAACACGAGAAAACAAGCACAGCAGAAAACATCCAAAATATTACCAAATATCACGTCCTATTAACACACTAACGATTATATCTGAACCTTAAATGTTATTCCACATTGTAACCGAGGAACCAGTGAACAATGTTTGTCCAAAAACACTATGCCACGATATTTGCAATATCAGTGAGAAGAATACCCAACTTCATGGGGAATCCAGTAGGAAAAATAATCTACGGCACAAATAATGTTTCGCACTTAGCCCTAGTACGGTTTACAGTATCGTCAAAAAAAAATAATAGAGGTCATATTATAGAATACCTTGTAGCATTCGATTTCGAAATCATTCATTATCTCCAAGAACTTTTCCATTGACAATGGTGATTTTCCCACATTAGAAAGGTGCTAAAATGGGATGTTTGCGCTAGATTTGAGATAGTAACAATATTACCACATCAACGAGAATAAATAAAATAGTACTAAGAATCGATGTACTAACCTCATTCAACAATTTTAGCCACTGCTTATCTAGAGCCGTGCATTCATAAAAGCGTAGTGGGTCTACTGCAGCATGTCCGAATGGTTTGGCAAAGAACTTCTTCATCAATTGCCGTCTTTTACGTTGAATACTGTAATTGTGAGAGAATATAAAAGCATGGAAGCAACAACTATACTATGAGCACCTGGTGTTAATGGAAGAATCCCGACTGAGAACAGTCTTGCGCACCCCAGAACTGTTCAGGTAACTTGGTCTCAATGGAACCTGTATCCCGTTACTCCACTCCGCACGCCACCTGATCACGAAAGGTATAACCATAAATATTTAAAGTGCGCACCTTCTGGAAGGAATAAACTTGTTACCTATCTGTCATCCGAATCAAGCCATTTCCTGGAATGTATTCGTCATCGCTATCTTGGTTGGCATCTATACCCTTACGCAGCTTATCAAAAAGGTCCGTCCGGAACATTTCAGCAGGTCGTCCGTCTGAATAAAAGTAAGACAGTACAAGAGTAGAATTGTTATATGTGGAAGAATGCCCCGTATTAGTTGAACTGACCACTTTTAACAACATAGAAATTGCGTGCACTATGTCCGCTGAATAAACTGTAGTCGTCACCAAACGCAGTTTCGTCTGATCTTGAATTTCTAAATAACAGAAAACGTAAGGTTAACGTCTTCTTCTTGAGCAGACACAAAGTTGTTATTACTAAATTTCTTTTTCAGTGAATAACGTTTCGGCGGAAATCGCCTTCTTGAGATCCTAAAACTTTGGTAATTAAACGCGTCTCTCAGGAAGAACACATTAACTTGTTGATCAACGCTAAAATTAACAGAAAGTCAGGTCTGGAAAAACACTAAATTGTTACAGCACCATTAACCCAGTACGCCTTAAAACTTTAACACTAACTCCTCTTTTAGCGAAAAAACATCTTTGCAGAATCTATCCAGTCGTTGTACGCTATGGTTTTTGCCTTTGTTCACATCTTCAGGACAAGACGAATAGTTGTCGCCATCCTCGTCGCTAACCTCGATATGGCTGTCACCGATATATTTACCGGATGTACTAGGGGTACAACCTAAAGGAATTTCTATAGCAAACAAACCCATATGGATAAATTCCCCAATGAACCAGTTGCATAAACATTTGCTCAACTAAATTTTAACTTACTAGCAAGATTTACTGCTAAGGAATCTTGTTTTCCTTTTGAGATCTCGTCATCACAACTTTCTGCACCAATGCCCGAAACCTTCGAGGTCTCTAGAAGTGGAAGTCGTTATCTAGCAGATATGGATGACAAAGGACTTGTTAACTGCTCACTCCTGTGTTCAGCTTTGATTTTCGAAATCTTTCTCATACCAGCCGTCGCGGTCTGCTCAGCGCCAAGAAGACGTCTCTGGTTCGCTCGAAACTTCGGCTTTGGTAGGCAATTATCAAACGGTGGAGCACCAGGTGTCATTCTGCAGCCGGGAAATTCTGAAAATCGTATGAAGCAATCCAGAACCATCGAAATGTGAAGATCTTATACGGCAACATGAAATAACATAAAATACGATATAAACCACACAAACTTCCAAAAATCATGCAAAACAGCGATCCATGCATTGTACAGTAGGGTAGATCACAAAGGAAAAGCTTTTCTCCGTCCTATGGGAACATACTTCACTCAGCAACACTTCAAGTCTAACGGAATATGCACGAGGACAGTGGTCATATGAAAAATGTGGACAGCCACCATCACATCTCCATGGCAGAATATCACTCTGAGCGTTTCGCGGACCACCATGTAGAAAACGCCCGCGCGGGACCTGGTCCGATTCGGACGTCAAATGCGCGCCATTTCTTTTCAAAAGTCCAAGTTGGAATAGATAACCTGCGCATCTAAACGGCGTAGAGCTGACATTCAACTGCTCCGCATTATCGATCCGTCCGTTTCGCTGTTTGCTTCGTTTATGTTGTGGTGTTTGACGCTCTATAGTTTTCTTATTAAATTACTAGTAAGAGGGGCAATAGGTTTTCTTCAAAGTCTCCTTATAGTACCACAACGATGCTGAAATGAACTGTTTGATAGAAAGGCAGAACGAGAACCTCAATGGTGCAACTGGTAACACGTAGAATCCCTGAGAGGGTGTTCGCGGTTCGATTTGGTCTGGCTTTCAAGTTTTGCAATTATGTTAGTATCTTTGTGGTTATATATCATATGGTACCCTGAAATGGAAAAAAAGGGAAGTACATAGAAGTTACAGATTCTTCTTATGGGATGGGTGTGTCTCGAATGTGTCACCGTATTCCTGTGGTAGGCTTGAAGTTTGGTGAATACTTGAGACGGGTTTGGTTCCTGTGATGTGCTTTATATGTACACTCTACCTTTTTAAGTGCTTTATAGTGTTTTGTCGGTGAACATATGGACATAGTTAAAGGTCGTAGTTCAGTTTCTTGCCTAGCCGTCTATGTCACTCTCATCTTACTGTAAGAGTCCTTCCGCCATCTAGTCCTCATTATGGGATAGTGAGACAACACTGTGCATTTAGAGCATACATTTCCTACACAGTTAGGTCACAATCATAAGTAGTTTCTACAATATTTTGGTAGATTGTGCAATAACTCAGTCAGTTGGACATTCCGGAATGTTCCGCATGTTTGTTATTTCCGTTCTCGGTAGTTGACTAGCTCTACACGCGCTGTAACATTCAAAGATTATATCTATGGTGAGTTACTATGTCTGTGGTCATCGTTTGCTAGAGGCGGAGAATGTCAGTACTTTCATTGTCGTGTGCTCATTTGACACTTGAATAGTACAATATTATGCGTAGTACACGTATGATAAACATTTTAACCAGATGATTATAGATATGAGTGAAGAGCAAGAATCAAAGAAGACGTCTGGCGACTCGTCTGGCGAACAGAAGTCCGGAGCGAACGGCGAACGCTCCGGCAGCCCGTGTGTGGGCAGTGGCGCCAACGAGAATGGCGCCGAGCGTGATCGCGACGACGTTTGCCGCGATTTCCTTAAGAACATATGCAATCGCGGCTCACGCTGCAAATTCTACCATCCCTCTGACAGCAAGCAGCGCACTGAAGATATGATCAATTTCTGCATCGACTTCCAGGTGTGTATGCGTTTAACAACGAAGCTATTAGGAGGTTTTTGTCAATTAGAATTGCTAACTATATAGACCTGGAAGCCTAAGCTTTAGCCTAGGGCCGTTTTTTATCGTGAGTTGCTAAGCAACTAGGCATTTCTAGGCACTTACTCTAAGGATAGTTTAACAAGATGCGAGTACGTATGACATAAGTTGTGAAGTATTTTAGGGCGATTAAGTACCTTGTCTGAAAACGGCTTTTTAGAATCGCGGCTGTATGCGCGACAACTGCCGCTTTGTGCATGCGTCGCGCGAGGAAGTGGAGCGCTACAAGCACACGCGCGAGGTGACGCTGCCGCTAGCGCGGGCGATCGCGGCGGTATCGCAGGGCGACACGATCGCCGGCATCCCTGTCTGCAAGGAGTTTCAGTCCGGCAAGTGCGCTCGCGGCGCGCAGCGATGTCGCTATTGGCACGTGAACGTAGAGGAGGAGCGCGAACGACGACTGCGTGGCCTTCCCCCGTCTGGCGGGCCGCTCGGAAGATATGGTGGTCCGCCTGGTGGTCGATACAGTGGTGGGCCGCCAGGTGGTCCATTGTACGGCCTACCGCCTCTGGGTATGCGTCGATCCGGGCCACCGCTTGACGGTCCGTACGAGAAGAGATCGCGAATGGAGGAGAGTCGTGTAACTGAGTTAGAACGTAAGAACGCAGAACTTTCAAAAGAAGTGGAAACGTTGAAGAGAGAATTGCAGCGTGAGCATGAGCGCTATGAGGATTTGTACGCGCTTTTCCGCCAACAAAGTGGTGGCGCAGGTGCAGCTGCCTCGAAATCCGCTGCGCAAGGCTATGGCGGAGTGGGCGGCTATGGCAACTGGAATGCCGGCGGTGGTTGGCAGTAGAGTATGTGTTTCGCTGGCAAACATTTCTCATTCCCATATGATCTTTTTTCGCAGGCGTGTTGTTGTTTTTTTGTCATTGTTATATGGAAGACGGCAGCGGTGTGTAATCAATCCTTTGCGTGCGTTATACTAAGTTATTTTTGCGGCGTGGGCTGCGGTTTTTGCGTTCATTGTACCTTAAATCATTGCACTTTTTTGCTAATTGCGTAATTCACGAAAATAAAGTTTTTGCTGATAGCGCTAGATGGAGGTCTTGTTGTCGACTTGTTCGATGTAGACAACACTTATGGTATTCTCACTTTACAAATGTTATCAGGTTGTATTTCGGTCTACTCTGTGCATTAGTTTGACCTGACACACAAAACCATAATGATCATGCACTGTAAGGCCTAATTGTCAACAATTTTCGGAAGGTGAATTTAGAAGTTTTGATTGGTTAAAAATTGTTGGAAAGTGGTATTCTAGCACTTTGTTAATGGCGCTAAGTAGCACTTGTGCTGGTGAGTTGTTGGAGGTAGGCAACAAATGAATGGTATTCTCATTTTGCAAGTGTTATTAGTAAGTTGTATCTCGGCTTTCTGTGTATACCAGTTTGTTCTGACATTCTCATCATACATCAATGGTTGTAATGGTCATACACGCCGCCTAGTTGACGATAGCTTTCAGAAGGTAAATTTAGGAGTCGTGATCTGTTAAACATTGCTAAGTCTAGAATCTTATAGTCATATATGGTATGTGTAGAATCAGTTTGAGGTCTACAATCTGCATGGTGTGCGTGAACAACGTTCATTCCTGCCCACTCTATGGTACCATCTCTAAAACATTGTTCACTTTGGCCTTCTGTTAGACTAACCATGTCGTTGTACTGTACATACAATGACCTTATTTTCATTAATAATGATAACGTATTTCGCTTGGTATTATGCACACGAGTTCTTAAAATTGGTTAGAAGCGTATATATTTTGCTACATAGCATAACCTGGATTTGAATGAGAAGTGGTCGAACTTGGTGCACATAAAAACTTGGGAAATTTCTGACATGCAAATTGCATGACATGACTAATTTAGATTATGACTATATGAAAGGTGATAAACAGTATCCAGATACGAACTCAGCAATATTTTAAGTGTTAAGGTGAAAGCAGGCAATGAAACACGAGAACGACATTGATAAAGGGATTAAGGAACGAGAACAAGTATGAAATCGTCGTCGGGTCATGACATCGTACTGACGCCAATTGCTAACTATTTAAAAGAAGAACAATAATTAGGTGATGATCGCTAAGAGAATGAGCACCGGTAGTAATTCGATGTTTACAAAATGGTGCAATGCTTCTTGATGCCTCTTTTCTTCTTGTTTGCAGCTTGTGACGAATCGAGGCCAACAGCTGAACTGCCCATTGGGCCACCTTTTCGCCGCTTGATTTCACGCATCAGATCGTAGAATACCTATAATTGATCGGTATATATGAAAAGCAACAGTTACACTCTACATATATAAAGAAGTAATCACTTTATCGACGTTTTCTCTTCTTTTCGCTGAAGTTTCCACATAGGGAACTCCCCATCGTTCGGCTCTGAAACACACTTTGTGGAAAACGTAAGTTAATGATCATCAATATGTTCGAGATTTTAACTTATGCATGGATTAAACAGAGTAAGCAAGTTGAGTTACATAGTTACCTTTGTCGGGCCATCTCCAGCGGCACCACCCTTTCTTCACGTAAGTCAGCTTTATTACCAACAAGAACTATGGGAATTGAATTATCCGAATTCTTCACACGAAGAATCTGCTCTCTGAAGTATCAAACAAGCAGTCGACGTTTCCCAAGTAGACGAGTCAGTGGTCTTGATCAACAATATGGTTTAGGTGTGACAAAACTTCTTTGGAATGTATTTAAATGATCAACATCCAAGAACATAACAAACTGACCTGAATTCTGTTGTGGCATCAAACGAGTCCATATCCAAAATGGAAAAAACACATATAAAGCCTTCACCGCTGCGATAGTAGTTGTCCCTGAAGTCCTCTATTAAGAATGTAGTGATTATATCAAGGCAGGGATATCACCGTGAAATCTGGGTATTCTGTGGATTATTCGATATGATGGAATCACCGACCGCTTATCGTTGTTTCAAGAATTCTTTTTGCTGTGTACTGTTAGGAATATATGAACGTAGTAATAGACTAAACAAGCCATTCTTTTTTTAAAAATAAAGATCTGGGAATCTTTTTTGAGAATCATCACCAATTGCGAACATATTCGAGAGGGTCCCATGGTTGGTTAAATTTTATAAATTTGTACCACATGACAAAGCTCGAGAATACGTCCACTTGCATCACATTTCAGAATGGTACGAAATTCTATAGCAAGAAAAAATTCAAAGTTTGAAACAAATGCAAATTTCAGCTTTTATGTGGAAGGACGCTGAACAGGGAACAAGTAAAATCCAAGCACTCCTTGTTTGTTGACTATTCGCCTATTTATACACGATAATGTCTGATGTCTCTGATGACAAAGTTCCCAAATGAAAATAGCTGGGAAGTAGCGCATCATCGTGTTCTGTAGTGCTACCAAACAGTGGCAGAAGTTCTCATGTATCTTACGGATCACTGTTGATTTATCAATATTGGGAAAGACTGCTCTCAGTTATGCAAAATAGGAAGCACAGTTAAATATTGAGTCCAAATTTGCCCGAAAGTTACCTGATAGCAGAGTAATCCTCCTGACCAGCGGTATCAAGGATATCGATCGAACACTCCTCTCCGTCCAGAACAACCTTCTTCCGATAGGAGTCGGCTTTAGTAGGTTCGTACTCTTCCACAAACTATAACGTCTTGAGGAAATGTCACTCATGGAAGTCCATAGTGACAAGAAAGATAACTTTAAAAGTTCATTTTTAATCCTAAGAAACTTGCAGCAACTAAGAGAACACACCTCATCGTACATGAACTGCAGAGTTAGAGCTGATTTTCCTACGCCTCCGGTTCCTACCATAATAACCTAAACATTGAATCATAGCCAATATATTGTAAGTCAGTGTAGAAATGGACAGTGTTGTATTGAATAGTACAACACAGTGCCAAAAAGAGTAAAAGCCTTAATTGAAGACGCAGTCTTATAGTAACCTTATGGGTCCAGTCATCTTAAGTTCCCACTACCTCTCAACATTTACTCATTTATTGAACTGCATTATACTATTCATCCTTCCAACGGTTTACCGCCTAATCGTGGCTAGGTGTTCTTGGGTGTCGTACTGCGATGTAAAGCGGGGGGATTCGTCCCGCCGCAGGGTCTCTCAAGCCGAGAAAGAGTCTGGCGTTTCCATCAGAAGCCTAGCTAGGAGTAAATCAATACCAGGATCCACCACTGTCCTGGTATCAAAGTCGAATGATGGCAAATCTTCATCTAATCCACAAGAGCTGCGATTGCCTGTCGTGGTGACGACCCGGGGCAGACTTTGGCCACGCTGTGCTCGGGATTCCAAGGAACCACAATGGCTTATCCAGCAAATCTCCGAAAAATAATGATTATGCTTGGGTCGGCACAAATAGTGAGGACGGGCCATTCAAGCATCAAGTATCCAGTAAGTATACTATTCATTGTTATACAGACCATTTAACCGCTTGATGAGGGTGCTATATAAAACGAGTAATTTTGTTGTATCACACGTTCCATCTCCAAACAGAACCATTCAGCTACTTACTGACTGTCATTATATAATTTAAAATCTAAAAGCTCTCTCCACAAAACGCAACTGCAAAACTAATAGGGATACCTACACTTAACCGATAAAACAATGATGGATTTACGACTAGAATATTAAGATGAAAATAAGACTATCTGTACAGCTTTTCTAATTAAGTGTCTTTATATTAGAATTATTGTGAAAGAGGTGCTGGAATTTTTTAATCCTATGTGAAAAACCAAATCAGTCGCATTGATTTCAATGAGCCATGTGCGCAAAACAAATACGACCATATACTTCATACAAACATATCCTAGTTCACAGTGAAGTCCATTAATTGAAATTACTTTGGGAAACACCGTCGTGTCCTGGGCGGAATCCCGCTTGTTTAACTGTTTAATGGTGCAACATGCGAACTTTCATGCGAAAAAGGGAAAGACCATACATTTCAGACCATGCCCTAAAAGATCAAAATTTCATCTTACTATAATAGAAGAATCTGTACCTTCCAGGCGTAGATCTGTAGGCTCTAATGATCCAAATTTCAAATAATAAAGCTCGATATGAGCCAAGATAATTACATTCATTGCAGCCCAGGTGTTATGTGCTAAAAGTTGGCACGGTTCTAAACCGGAGCGCAACATACTTCAGTACTGCTTCGGTTACTGTACTTCTGTCAGCTCTCAAGACGGCACCGGTAAATTTCCTTCCGTAACAAAATCACAACATAACAATGACCTTCGAAACACGATTTCAATATCGAGCGCTTTACGAAATGTAACGATCTTCACAGTAACTGCGAAGGAACGGTGTACACTCGTAATGTTAACTTCATATTTTGCCTAAAAAGAAGCATCCAGTACCATGAAACCAAATGCGAAGCTGTTAGCGCTAAACACTACCCGTATGATCAACTCATGAGAAAAGCTCGTCGAGTAAAATTGACTGTTCCTGGAACATGTACGTAGCCCCTAAAGGATATTCCGGGAAATCAGTTACGTCGAAATCCGTGAGGACTATCCAAACAGTGGCTGAAAATTTTGAGGACTGTATGAAACTGTTTACATAATCTGCACTTCGATAATCACACAGTCGAAGAGTATGTAAACTGATAAGAAATCAAGACAAGTGAATGACAAAGACACCTGGATAGGTGCTTGGAAAAGGATATGAAGCCCATAGCACAAGAAAGCAGCTATGTTCGCTGACTATATGAACATCGCTCATCACCATCTATCCATCTAGCATTACCTACAACATCAAGTGATCCCCATCGTAGTCGCACATTATGCTAAACATCTCCATTTGTGCCAAGAATCCAATGGTGATTACTTAATATTGAAACCTGGAAACCTCATAGGAAGCGGTGAGTGTGCAAAGCTGTGTTCAACGTGATTGAAATGTTGGTTTGGAGTTTCTTTGCTTGGTTATGGAAGCGTCTGGCCGAGTAGATTGCTGTCAACTTGACCTTTCCGGGCTTTGAGGAAGGCGAAATCCGCCGAAACGTCAGCTTATTCGTGAATAAAAAAAAAATAACACCTCGCGTTTGCTCAACAAAAATACGAAGAGTCACAATGCTGCTATAAAAACCAAAACGAACTTTTTTGGATTCTTCAGAGCTTGAAAAACAAAGGGCATCCGAAGTGAAATGAGTAGAGATGGCTTAAAATACAGGCGTTGTGTTTGGTTCGACTCCACCGTAGGCCGATTGAGCCCCATTTCTTCGAGTCATCAGACTGATCCCACTACTGTCATGGAAAATCCAATCCACAGAATCAAGCGAATCAGCTTGAGCAAGATACAACAACGTTCACGAAGAAGAGAAAACAAAACTTCCAACTGGCAACCAATCTCCAGCGCAAATACTAGAAGCTTTAGGGATAACAGGTGCGAGAAAATGAAACGAATTAAGTGTTGGAGTCGTACAATGCATAGCGTTGTTTCACTTAAACAAAATAAGATGTGAAACGCTAAACATGCGTACGAAGTAAAGAGAAAAATGACATTTGACTCTATATCTCACCTCCAAGCAAAGCTTGAGGAGAATTTCGGAAAACTTACTCATTCAAATACAAGTCCATCGTGATAAGACAGAAATCAAAACAGAAAAAGCATATTTTTAAGTACCTTATGTACTACAGGAGCAACATTTGCTTGCTGTGTCGTACTGGCCTTCTTCTGAGCAGACATTCCTGCAAATAAGAAGAAATGATTTCAATCCAACAAAGTTTCCTAATGAAAAAAATGAAACTAAGACCACAACACAACTAAAACAATGGAGTTTCCTAGTAAGGGATGATGCAGAAAGAGCACCGGATCGCAAAATTGCAACTGGAGCATGTAATTCGCTGACTCATTTCAAAGGAGCGCTTCATTAAATAGCGATCTAAAAACAAATAAGGGCAACGAATGGAAGCGCAGTTGGAGAATCAAGAAAGAAAAATGGATATCCATTTTCTTAAAGCTGTCTTGATGGTTGGACGACTATAACAAATGTGGCAGAGCAGTATACAACAGACTAGCACAACGATGAAGAACGAAGTAACAGAAATCAAACTTGTAATACAAGTTGTAGTTCTAGTAGTTTTCAGATTGAATGCCATTTTATCTCAATACCGTCTCCTCCAAGAGTATAAATATAAAGAATTCATCGATGGAGTGACCGGTATGACCTCTACAGATTTCGTTTACTTTCCGGTGGTTTATCATAAGACACAGAACTGCTTTACCACACTTCTCGTAATCAATCGATAGCTTGTCGAACATAGATTTTGTGTTGGACGTTGATCGGAAAAAGCGCTATTCTGCGCCTGAACATGTAGGAAAAACCATTTTGCCACCAGTTAGTTCACTGTCTATAAGTTTGAGTGGTAGTCGACTATTATTTCGCATCTAATTGCTATAGTGATTCACAGTTAACGTACAGAATGTTCGGGTTTAAAAAGTGCTGAGGTAGAGACCCGCAGGTTGCAAAACACTTCCAAATGATGTCAGCGATGTCCTTGTATGATGCACCATAGTGATATCGAGTAAATCTCGTGGTGCATATCATTCGTAGCTAGAGAACGATAGAACGAAGTCTCTTCTACAGTGTTAACCTACCAAGTGCTCCAGTTATCAAAAGATTCTTGTTTACTGTCAAGAAAGCAACAAGTCCGCAAAGGCAGAAAGCGTAGGCGTCGTCCACTGCGGCAGAAAAGCAAGATTAGGCGTCGTGGCGCTGGCGTTAAGTAAAGAATTTTTGAAAGATCGTGGCGGATTTCGCTGGCGTTGTAATTTCAAGCCAAACAACATTACATCGCCTTTTGCACTTTTGTCATCGACACGTATTTTGCACTTTATCTGCAACATTTTTGCAACCAGAACAGTAAGAATTCCTAAGACCGACTTTCTGTTAACCTCGGCACTGATTGATAATTCGCTGGTTTTCTTCAATAAGCAGACAGAGGTTGTTATTACAGAATTTATTAGGATACAATAGCTGACGTGTCGGCGGTTTCGTCTATGGTTATGAAAGTGTTTGACTGAGTAGATCACATCTCAATTTGACGTTTCCAGGCACTGACGGAAGCGAAACCGCCGAAACGTCAGCTATTGTATCCTAATAAATTCTGTAATAACAACCTCTGTCTGCTTATTGAAGAAAAACACAGAACAGTAAGAATCTCTATAGGGAATGGCAAAAGTCGACACCAGTAGATCCAATTTATGAAGGATTGTGTTTTATATGAATGTGGGTGTGGTACGAGTTTTTCTTTCCATTCTTTTCATCCACAACCAAATCGCTTAACCCATCTCACCCCGTACGGACACTATAGTGTACAAAGCGATCTCGTCGTAAAGGACCACATGGACGCTATAGTGTCCACATTGAGTTCAGTGGATTTCCAGTACTTTTTTCACTGGACTATGTATATTATGTTAACCTTTTATTTTCTGCCTACTATAATTTCTCACCGCAGGGTATGATATGAATCACAACCACAACGATGCTCAGATCAGTCCCACATACGGGTGATTGCTCATGGCAGCGTTAGGTAGAAAATTAGCTGAGAGAAACGCAGAGCAAGGGTTTTGTGGTGCAATGTGTAGTGCGCGAGTCCTCAGGAGAGGGAAATCGTGGTTCGATCTGGCCCGGGGTCCAGATTTAGCGTTGTGGTTATGTATAGTTATTCGATAAATAATCGAAAGCGGACCAAAACAGTAGAAATGAGACTAGAAAAGTCATTCTCTACACTAAACGACTTAGAAAAAAGCTTTTTTCAAAAAAGTTCACTCACCGATAATTTGACTAACAATCAACTCCTATGACGAATAAGGCTTATTTTATTAAATGTGTAGGCACGAAAAATACCGATCCAGGCTCGACATAAGCGGGAAAATACTTCCTAATGCAGAGAGCAACGTATTTGCATAATGGAGCATAGTACTTACGCATAGTAAACAGCAGCATACATAAGATCCATACCCATAGAATGATAGAGCAAAGTCTCCTCTACAATCTTGTCACATTTAATACCCCTCAAGTCTTCTGTTTACCGAGAAAAGATTTCTTATTGTCAAAAAAACAGAAAACCCGCAGCCAACGAATAATTGCGCGTAGTCCGTTGGACCGGT